AATAGGACAAATTTGTATATAATTCCCTATGATTTGGTTAATTAGTTTATATAAAGGATGTAAATGGGCATGACATATCATTGTTAATATTCAAGAAAGTGTTCATTGTTAATATTCAAGAAAGTGTTCATTGTTTTTCTTGTAGATGCTTCTTTCCATCTGATGTTTTCCAGGGTTTTTTGTGATAAGTTTTCTTAAAAATGGCACCATTCAACTACAAATACTATGCCGGTCTAACTGTGACATCAATCAACTGCTCATGACACTGCTAATTGCCAGAGAATTTATGCAGGAAGTGTGTGTTAACTCTGTTAACCATCCAGTGATGTCCTAAGATTGCCAGATGAGCACACATATACCTGTATTCAAGAAAAGATTCTGTAACACGACAATAGGAATTTTGCACAGCTCGAAGCACAACTGATGATAATTTAGGTGCCTGCAAAACATGTTATAAACTGGCACATATGTATTTATTTGATACAAATCAAAACAAAATTTGTCCCTTTACAGAACAAATTATTTTCATTATAAAGAAAAGAGAAATGCATATATATTGTGTTTATACATATAAACTGTATTATTGGGTATATTCACCCCATATTAATTTTTAATATATTCACTCTTTCACTCTTGAAAACAATGTTGCCCTTTTGAAATTTATCAGACACGTTCATGTTTAGAAGATATATGCTGCCTTTTTTGAATTTGCCCCATTTTAAATTCACCTACATGTATCGAGGGCCAAATGAGAAAAGAAATGTGAAAAATTCCAAGTACAAAGTACCGGTACTTGCCTACCTGTTGCACTATTACTCCTCCAGCTTTACAATATTCTGTAATACCATTGCTTTCATGCGATATCCCCCAGTGGATTTATGGTCTCTTTTCCAAATTATATGCACTTTCTAAAAAGAAGGAATTTGTCAATTTATAAAATGTAGTATTACAAGTTATTATTAATGACAGTAAAACAATGTTAACAACATTTAAATGCAAATGAACCTCATTTAATGCAATAGAGTGAATAGGCGAATGAATGCAAAATTGTTCTTATGTTTTATAGACTATATTGTTCTTTGATATTATTGTTAGCCTAATTTTTAAATGAAATTTTGTGCTATAAATAATTCAGATGCATAGAAATAATTGTCTAATGGTGTTTTTTATCACTTTGATGTTTCTTGAGAGATATATCACATACATTGCTGACATGTTGCATATGTGACATTTGTGAATATTAATTAGACCCATCATTGATCAACTCCATAGACGTACAAGTACCCTTTTGCCCGAGCCAAACACATGAGGTTATAACATATTCAGATGTAACAATTTACATCAATATTGTGTAATGAACCTTGGTCTCTCAATTGAAAACCACTATGCTACTGTGTTTTTGTATTTAGAAAAATTCAAGTTATAAAAAAAAAAAACAAGTACAAACAAGTGCACAAAACTGCCTGGTTTCATGGCTTTATTTCTTCTCAGCATAGATCTATATTTATTAAAACTACACCACTCTACACTAAATTCAAACACTAAAACAGACTGAAACTTTAACCAAAATCTCCTCTATAACATGCTCTCTAAGCTTAAGAATATGGTCATATTATTGCAGTCATATAAATTTTGTCCAATGATTAATAAAGATAGAATTGGCAGAATATATATAAAGAAAATCTTATCCTTTGGAAATAAGTGCTTTCAAACATTGAATGCTTAAAACATTGACCCATTGGCACGCAACAGCCAAATTTCTGTCAATAAATGAAGCGTTTTTTGAACAAATTATTTACCCAAACAAAGGTATTGCAGTCACATGATGTTCGTAACCATCTGACACTTACACTACTCCTTAAGGACTAATGACCCTCTGCTCCAAATTTCACGAAAATTTTTTAAACTTAAGCTTCCCAACATTGATTTTTATGAAAAGCTATAGCATCAAAATCAAATGAAAAATAGTATGAGGTATGAAGCGCTGATCATTTTTTCAGAAATGATTTTTATGTCAGATCATAATATGAAGAAATTTTAACACAGAGATTAGGAAGAGTAATAATTTATTATCATAACATAAAATTAGAAATATGCGGTGTATATGAAAATAATATTTAGTGTCATACCTACTAAATTCATATTAGAAATCATAATGAAGGGCTGCTTCCTAAGTAAGAATATCACAATGTTATATGTGGTTGTAAGAAAACAATACATCTGTTAGGAAGAGTTATCTTTCTTATAAATATTTCTTTATTGGAAAAAATGTAATTCTAATAAAAATTCTACATTTGGGGCTTGATACATAAACCATTTTTAAAAAGATAGTTAAAAAGATAGAACTTATTCAATTAAGAGTTTTAAAACTGGATTTAAATGTTTTTTTTGTCAAAAATAATAAAATATTTGTAAAGTACAGTCAAAGGAAATATAAGGTAATGTTTCCATCATATGTTAACTTTGATCGAATTGACTGCTCAAAGGTCTCGATAATTAATCTCTGATAAAGTAAACTATGAGTAATACTAGGATTTTTTACTTGGAAAATTATCTCTCTTATCAGAGGGTTGGTCCCCCTTAATCAGCTGGTAATAACTCATTGTCCTCGAATTAAAGAAAAATCTGTTAATAAATTAATTGGAATGATGATTTCAAAACTATTCCATTCAGGTATAATATAAGACAACTCTATTTTCCCAAAGAATACACAAGAAACAGGTAACATTCTCTGACTTCTTTACCTGTACTTCGATCGAAATTCTCCTCCTTTATGCTTGCACCAAAGCTTTTATGACACTCTATTCATCCATCGTAAGTCGGAGAACCCTTCGGCTTTGTACAACTGCTTAACCTTTCCTTGTACGCTTTGTGTAAACCATAAACATGCTTAACCCAATACACATCTCCATGTATGAGGTACCCGGATGTTAATATTATCGAAAAATCTCGCAAGTCACGTGACGAGACTAACAGACCATATATAGAGATGAACAGTTTGTCAGCGCAACTCCTCTTACATTTGTAAACTGCTGCACAGAATTTGGTCAAACTTTCCAGATATTTAGTACCCAGTGTGTAGATGTGCATATTACCAGGAAATTCCGAATCCTTTATTTTTCTGGGAATTTCGGCACTTTTCAATTTAGATTTTTGGCCATATCTTGAATATAGAGATGAACAGTTTGTCGGTGCAACTTCTCTTAAACCGCTGCACAGAATTTGGTCAAACTTTGCAGATATTTAGTACACAGTGTTTATATGTGCATATTACCAGGAAATTCCAATTCCATTATTTTTGCCCTTAGAGTTTTGGCTATCATTGAAGAAACTTTCCAGCCAGGTAATAAGGAAATTCACCGGAATCTGATATTGTAATGAAATTTGATGTGAAATATTTTATGACCTTAAAAGACCCCTATTGATTTTGAGATCAAAATGTTAATTATTTAACAAACACAGTCATACACAATCTGAGATAGTTCTCATCCCCTCCCCTCAAATTTGTGCTTTACCTTAGATAATTTCATATGTACAGTATATATACAAATTCATATGACTACATCATAATTTTATTTCCATCAATTATTTAAATGTGTAAATTGTCATGTGTTGTACATGGACTTACACTCATTAACAAATCGAAATCAGTGAGGAATTTAAATAACAGTTTGTCAGCATAACTCTTGCACTGAATTTCCTGAAATTTTGTAGGTATTTCAGACATAAAGTACCGATTTGTATATTATCAAGAAATTTTTATTCCATTATTTATCTAGAAACATCAGCCCAATTATGTTTGTAACATACAAAGATTTGAATGTCCTTATATGCAAGACGTTTTGATGTGATGATTTTTTTGCAAGTAATGTCCCTTTTTGAATTATATTGTGAATTTAAAATGCGCTGTGCCATTCATTACGTGTTGCATTGTCGGGTTTTGGGGAAGCGTGGGGTATGTGAGCTTGCTCACTTTTTCTTTCATTTAAACACTGAATTATCTACGGATTTTTCCGTTGGCCGATCATGATAATGAACAAACGGCGGGTGTGACCTGTCGACAGGGGATGCTTACTCCTTCATTGCATTTGATCCCACCTCTCCAATTTCTTTAGAGGTTCGAGTTTGCTCTGTTCCCGATTTGTACTTTTTCAATTGATATTTGAGCCAGAGTACAGTTCGTTATCTCCATATTTCATGCATGTAATAGTTTACATATGTCACAACATGAAAGTAAAAATGATAAATCGGTCAAATGAAAACCTTACAACACGCTCATTGCAATGCTTACACAGCATCATATATATTACTAGTGCGACATTGCAAAAATGCTGTCATTCTAAACGTCAATTTCCTTAGCATACTTCTAGAATGTTTCGATTGTAACGGGAAAAATAGTGCCCTAGAAAGGTATATACAGAATATGAAATCGTTTTCCTGAATGCATGCCTGTTGGGAAAAATTAATAGATTTAAGTACTTTGAAATATATGGATTCTCAAAAACTCTTAAAATCTTTTAGATAATTAAAATCGCCAGTAACATCAATACAGATGATTCTCTACACCTTAAACAACCATTCCTCACGACAACACAACAAATTAAAACTAGGCTTTTTAATATTATAGACTACTGCTTTTTTAATAAAAATGGAAGTCGAAAAGTTTTGAATCTTATGATTGGTCATGTATAATATTACCTTTTTAAAAGTCACTCTGATTTTGCACACAAGTACTCTGAGGTAGATATTAAAAGTATGCTGGAATTCCTCTTTGACAATATTTATGTAGTCTTCGGAGACCAGGCTCCGAGGTTATAAAACTTTTTGGATGTTAAATTCGTACTCATACTCAAACTCCGTACTCCAAATTCATACTCGTACTCCAAAGTTGAGGTTATAAAAATTTATTATACTCATACTCAAACTCCAACGGAATACATACTCAAGATTTTTTAAGTATGCTTTGAAGCATTCTCAGAGTCGTACTCAAACAAACAAAAATGGCTGCTCACAGACGACAATTTCGTCAACGACTAATGAGCCATCAACACAGGCGTCCGCGACTATTCAAAGACAGATCAAATCCTTTGGAAGACTTAGAAGATGATGAAGTTTATGATCGCTTTCGGTTTCGTCCACAGACTATTATTTTCATCCTCGGTCTTTTCCCTGTCTTGTCCCGGCCAACTAACAGGAACCATCCTTTGCCACCTCTGATTCAACTTCTCCTGTCTTTGCGATATTTCGCCACTGGTGCGGTGCATATACTCATCGGAGACTCTTTGGACATTTCCCAAAGTTCATCAGGAAGGTGTATTCGTGCAGTTGCAGGACAATTGGCGAACCTTGCTCGCAGATTTGTTGTGTTTCCAACCAACAATGATGCAGCTTCTACAAAGCGTGACTTCTCTGCCTGGTAACTAACAACTTACAAGCTAATACGTCACAAATCGGTTTCTCATTATTTCGTCCCCAGTTAACTTGACTCTTTTGTGTAAACGTGCAATTGAAAAGAATTCATGAACAGATTTTAAAAAATCAAACATTATTGTTTTAATTATTCTTTTTTTTCATAAAAATGCACTTCAACTTATGATTATAATTGTAATATATTCCAAATAAAATTACACGTCAATTTCAACAATTTTAATATTTTGTTTTAAAATTTGTAGATTCCCCAAATGTACTAGGATGTGTGGATTGTACACACATTAGGATAATAAAACCCAAAGACAATGAGGTAGACTTCGTAAACAGAAAGGGATACCATTCTTTGAATGGTCAGTTTATATTTATATACATTTTATGACTCCTCCTTTCCACCCCCACCCCCATTTTACTTACCCCTCAGCTCAATATTACAAGAACTCATTCATTATTAGAAACCTTTATACAATATATTATAATTAATAATTAAAACATTGCTGTGACGTCATGCCTTTGTTCTTGCAGTCTAAAAATTTACCTGTAGCCGTCCGATAATAATAATTAGCAGTCCAATAATATATTATCGGACGGCAGTGATAACAAAATTGGACAGTAGTTAAAAAACAACAACTAGAGTGAAATCAAGGTTTAATTTGTCCAGAAACCCCCAAAAAAAGTTAGGGAGAAAAATTTCAGGGAAAGCGAACGCGAGAAAATAAGTTGTTAAAAATAGCAAATCCAAGAGGAAACAGGAGTTTTAACCTTCCTCAAAAGTAACACTTTCCATTTGGTTTTTCGCAAAGCGTTTTCGATACAGCACTGTGAATAAGCCAATTTAAATCCATTTCTGATAAAGAACCAGTTTGCAAATCTTTTTATTTAACGAGGTTTGTTCGCCAATGACCGCACTTTTAAAACCCAATATTTTCATTGTATCATCTAATCAAAATTTTAGATAAAAATCCGCATTTTTACTTTAAATGCATTTTGAAGATATCATCCAACACTGTATCTGTCTCAATGTCAAACGCACTTAATAAATAAAATATTCCGAATCATGAAAAAATCCTTCATCACTTGACCACTGTCCATAGTTCCTGCTAAGCCAAACGACTGCCATCGAATGAATGAATGAAACAAAAGAGTTCACCCACTGATTTTACTGTCTAAAGAAAAAAAAAAACTTTCTCTTTTCTTTTGTCTACTTATTAGATGGTTTCAGGTAGAAAACTATTGATGCTTTAACTCCTATTGTGTAATTATCGGACTCCTCCAGGTAACTTTTGGACATTTAAATGCAATGTTTTAAGTAAGATATATGCCTCATACAATTCTATATGTAAAATTATCAGACTGTTTTCGGCCCTAACGGGTCTCAAACAGTCTGATAATTTTACATATAGAACAGTATTCGGCATATATCCATTACATAATTTATGAATTTGAATGAATGGCCAGGTTTAACATAAATTTCTGAAAAAGTAAGCCTCATTTTTATTATAAATAAAAACCAAAGTTATATATATTAAATGTATACATTTGATAGAATAAATAAATATAGTTCCCAACTTTGATTTTTATTAGTAAAAATTGGGCTTACTTTTTCAGATATATCTATCTATCTATCTATCTATCTATCTATCTATCTATCTATCTATCTACCTATCTATCTATCTATCTATCTATCTATCTATCTATATATATATATATATATATATATATATATATATATATATATATATATATATATATATATATATATATATATATATATATATATATATATATATATATATATATATATATATATATATATATATATAATTGGGGGGAGGTATAAATTTAAAACAAAGGTTAATCACTAGAAAAGAAGAAAAGATCTTGTCTGATATAAGTATATTCAAAGTGAACATTAAATATAATAAGTGACCCTACTATTGAGCTTAATTAAACATGTACATATAACTGAATAATAAACTGTCCAACTATCTTCATGGATTGCATAATTTTTAACACAATTAGTGTATTTTCCCATGTTTAAAACTTAATACAATTTTTCTCTTTAATTTATAGATGTGCTGTGATCCTAAATTCACTATAACAAGTTGTGTTGCTACCTGGCCCGGCTCAGTCCATGACAGCAGGATTTTCCGCCAGTCAGCACTCTGTGCTCAGTTTGAGAATGGTATATATATAAATATATATGGTATATATATAGATATATACACACAGTAGACAAAATTGTACTGCATCACCAAAGAAAATATATTCCTTTTCAAAACTTTTTTATGATGTATTTGATATATTATTATGTAACTAAAGTAAAAAAAAAATGAGGCATGATATCTTAACTGATAAGTATAACTATAACGTTATATTAACTGAAGAGTAACCCAATTCATGGGATAAAAGAAGAATTTTTTAAAAAAAAATTTTTACAGTTTGAAATTTACTTATAATCTTGCATTAATGTATTTTCCATGTTTTTTTGTGTTTTTTTTTATATTATTATACATGTACATTTTATAAAATATGCAATTTTTAGGCCAACATGATAAAATTCTGTTGGTGAACTCAGGCTATCCATGTCAAAGATTCTTGATGACCCCTTTCCTAAAATCTGCTACTGCTTCTGAACAGCGTTACAATGAAGCCCTGTGCAGAACAAGAGTTCTGGTGGAGCAGACGTTTGGCATTCTAAAGGGAAGATTCCTCTGCCTTCATCATGAAATGGCTACAGACCCCCCCCCCCCCCCCCCCCCCCCGGCAGCAGTGTATGTGGTGGCCTGCGTTGTGCTCCATAACATCTGGATTGAAAGGGGGGATGTGCTTTCAAACCAATAGGGTTTTTTGCCTCCAGTAAATGATGACAGGGTAAGGTTTGTTGGAAGGAATGATGGGTTATAATGAGGCAGCACATTGTAAATAATTTCTTGAAAGGTATTCCCTCCCTGACCTGTGATGTCGTAGAATTTTGCAAAAAAACTTTTATTAATTTAAATTCATACCCAGTAGAAATATATCCTTTGGAAGAATGCTTTTCAATAGGTGTATTGAAAGATATTGTAAAGAAAAACAATTTAAAAATTGACTGACAGTTTTCTATTTTTTCTTCATTTAATAAATTTAATTCAAGCTTTAAAAAATGTTGCTTAAAGGACAATAACTCCTTCCCCATTCATCTTCATTCAGGCATTTTCTTTATTGTACTTTTAATGTAAAGTGGTCCCCTGATATTCACAGTTTAAGCATATTTATAAAGTAACAATTATTTTGAAACTTTCAGCATCAGAATGGTGTATTTGAACCAGTTTTAACTTAATTTTTATAATATACCGTTTAACAAAAATGTAAGATTTTTATATACTTACATATACATCTATTTATTTAAGTCAGTGAAAATAAAAGCAGGTTATCTATTTTGAACTCTTGAAATTGTGAGGATGGAAATACCTTAAAATGATTGAGGTATAAGTATGTATTGTACATGTGAAGTTATTATAACTTTGAGTTTGTTCCCATTTAGTTTGAAGATATTTTGTTTTTAGTCTGTATGTCAAGCTTATTGATATAGAGATGGCCATGTAACTTTTTTATATTATTGGGAGTGAAATGAATTTTTTTAAAACCCATCTTGTATTTCACAGTAACATAGCCCTTTATAAGTAGGTTAAGTAAGGTTTCCTGCAGGCCTTATCTCCCCTTCAAAGTAGTTTCACACTCTCTCTCTCTCTCTCTCTCTCTCTCTCTCTCTGGTTTACATTACTATATCATACCAAAGCTTTTAAGAAAAACATCAACAATTAAATATTAAAAATTATGAGAAATTTTTATTATTTATTAATAAAATTATTATTTGATATGATATCATGCAATGCACCTGTAAAATACACGGTTTGGTTACAGGAGTATTTCGTATACAAATACAAATATAAAATGGCACAAACACAATTACAATAATTGGCAAAGGCCCACTGAACATCATTAGATACTGTTAACATAGTTTTTATGTAGTATTAAGTAATTGACTTTTATGTTCAAAACAGTCTCTATTATAAATTTCACAGTAATTTTAAGACTTTATGTATACACCTATCACTGTTTTATTATACTTGTAATATGTACCTTAATATTTTTCTTTGTTATATTATAAATATTTCTAAGGTATTTGTTTCTCACCTTAGAACAAGATTTACATTGAAAAAGAATATGAATTCCATATCCTCAATCACACCAATATTGCAAGCATTACAACATCTTTCGTTTCTGGATGTGGATATACATCTACCACTATCTATTGCAAATTTATGTGCACTTAATCTAATTCTACTGAGAGAGGATCTCTCAGATGTTTTTTTTTTTTTTTTTTTTTTTCCTGAGTAAATCAACATATGGACTTCTTTTTCTTGTACTGCATTACTGTAATTTTTTTAAATATAAAATTCAATTTTTTTCTGAACCAAAGATTTTTGATGACTGCTCCTGAGTGCACTGGTCAATGATCCCTTGTTTTTTGTTGGGTAAAAGGTGTAGAACATAGAACCTTTATATTTTGTAATGTTTGCAAAATCCCAGATTATCTAGAATAGAAAATAATTTCTTAGTCCATGAATTGCAGTTATTGAGAACAAGATGTGTTTGTGAAACACTTATGCCCCCCCCCCCCCCATGGCAGGTTATGGCAAAGATAAGTTTCTCAAATGCAAGCCAAACTCCAAGGTCAAGAATTCAGAAATGTCAGTACTCCAAAAAATAAATATATGCTTTGTAATTCATAAAATTTCACAAATTTTAATAGAAAAAAATCTATTTACTTGTATTATATGGAATATATAACTGCATTATGCTAGTATAAGGAAAACATTCCACATGATGAGAACTATAATGTAACTTTGCTACATCAAAGGTTCTCAACAGTGTTACTCACGAAATATGAAATAGTAGATTGTTTTGTCATGGAAATACAATGAGTAAATTACAATTCTACAGCTAT